TACCGCTGCTATCGCTCTGGTGTTCTGAGGACCCCCTGCCCCCGGCACAGCCGAGGCTCCCTGGGTGTTCACCTTCCCCCTGGAGCGGGCTTCAGGGGCGGGAGCCCTCACAGCCTGCTGTTAGCTGGTCCCAGGGTAGAGGTGCTCTGAGCACGAAGCCTGTCCTCCCCAGGGGGGGTGGGGAGAGTGGGGTCCATGAGCAGCTGGAGGTGCCACACAGGGGGAGGTCTTTCTGTTCCTGTTCTTGTTGACCATACCCTAAACACCTTGTGCCTCACTGTGTGTGAATCTTGGGTCTATGTTTGACAAGGGCATGCATTTTCAGTCCTTGAAAAAGTCATGGAAAACATGCACAGATGATTAACAGCACAGGGCTGCCCCTACAAGTCCTGTGCTAGTACAATGGAGCTCTCCAGGGGCCTCCTGCAGCCACCCTATTATTACCCAGTGACCCTGTGGGCTGAATTCTACTGAGTTCTCTAACCATGTTCTTCTGACGGAATGGTCGTTCACACTGTTAGACAATGGCATGGCAGGAGGTCAGGGTCACCTTATGGTGGACAGAAGGTAGTGCCAGAGGTAGATGCTGTGGAGAGAGTAGAACAGGAGGTCGGGATCAACCCATGGTCACCACGGGGAGTCTGTAGGGCAGGACAGTAGGTGTCCCCCATTCTCCATGGCCCAACTGATTAAGAGGCTAAGGCAGGAGGATCCAAAGTATGAGTTCAGGCTCAGAAACTTAGCATGACCCTAAGAACTAAGGGAGACCCTGCTCAAGATAAACAACAAAAAGATGTGGCTCAGGTTAAGCACCCTGGTTTCAATCCCTAGTACCAAGAAGAAAAAAAAAAAGGACAATTATAAAAGCAAACAAACAACCCCCTCCCCCACCATATGCAATAAGATTAGAGCAGTCATAAACAGTCTCCAAATAAGGAGAAACACAGGCAGGACCCGTTGGCTTCACAGCTGAAAAACCAGAGTTTTAGAGAAGTAACACCAATGTCCTCTGAAGATTTCAGAACATGCAATGGAAAGGGACCCTTCCTGACGCATTCTATGAAGCCACTATTGCCCTGCTGCCAAAGCCTGCTAGGGACATCACAAGAAAGAAAACTAGGCAAATATGCTTGGTGAACACAGGTGCAAACCCTTGATAAAATATCCACAAAGCAGACTCAACAGCACACCAAGAAGAGCATATCACAAAAAAGCTGGTTTCAATCCAGGGATGCAAGGACGGTTCAACACACACAGATCAGCAAATGTAACAGCACACAATCAGAATCAAGGACAAAGACCACGTGATGATCTTTATTGATGCAGAAAAACATCTCTGATAAAATCCAACATCCTTTCTTGATATAAGTCCTGAAGAAATTGGATGCAGAAGGATCATGATCAGCACAATAAAGGCCATTACAACAAAACCATGGCCAACGTCAGGTCCACTGAGGAAACAGGTGAGCATTTCCTGTAAAATCCGGACAGAGACAAGGTGTCCCCCCACCACCCTCGTTCAATACAGTCCACCAGCCTGAGCCAGAACAAGGAGGGAGAGAGAGTAACAGGGTGAAAAGACCAAAGGAGGAAGCCGATGAGAGACCTACAGTGAGAGGGCCTAATGCCCCAATGACGCAGAACTGACGAACCTGCCGAGAAG